GCTATCATATCTGCATTCCTGCCAGCGGGGAGAAGAAAGGCACAAAAAGGGTATGGCACTGCCTTCTAAGGACACATTCCAAAGTTTCACACACTATTTCTATTATTTCACACACTATTTCCACATCTCACTGAAAATAATTTGGTTACATAGTCACATCCAACTGCAAGGAGCACTGGGAAATATAAGGTTTATCCTGGGTGGGCCTGTGCCCAGCTAAAATTCTGGTTTCCAATTACAAAGGAAGAAGGGGAGAATAAACACTAGAGGACAACTAGCAGTATTTTTTTTTCTACTTGCCTTCAGGCAAACATTGTTCTGGAAAATGTTAATGAGTGTGCTTCAAGAAAAAAGTTTCATGATCAAAAGTTTGAGAAAAATTGTTAATTATGTTTCTGCTCTTACAGAGTCATAAGATCCACAAAGCACAAGATTCTGAGAAACCCAGCAAAAGAGAAACTTAACTAATTTCATTTGATTCAGAATTTTGCAAATTGATTCGAGCATGCAACTTCATTTGAGAGACACTACTATGTACCTCCTAAGGAACTGGGGTCTATGACACATCAGTTTGGGAAATGCTGCAAGTGACTAAGAGCCATAAATGGTAACCTTGGACCCAGGCACCTGAGTGGGAACAAAGGAAACAACAAGCAAAAGAGAATGGAGTCTAAATAGGCCCCGAGTTTTAGATTTTGGAGACTGCCCTCCCTTTAAAATCCGTATGATAACAATTCAAGCCCATCCTTCACTACTACTAGGACTCTAATTCTTTTCCTGAAATGTTTCAGATGCTCTCTGAGAAGTGCTTTTATCTGTTGTCCACAATCCTCCAGACTTCCTCCCTGTTCATCCGAGTTTCTCATCAGGGCTTCTCCAGGTGCAGTGGCTGTCCGTGGCTTGCTTCCCAAAGCCTGGATACATTAATGTGCACTAAACACAGNCTTTAAAGCATTTATAAGGCCATACTGTGGCCTAAAGGGAGAGGGGCCACAGAATATTTTTCAGGCATGGCCCCCCTCAGCCTTTCCCAGAGGATGACACATTCCCCACACTGCAAGAGCCCTCTATTCAAGCCTCCAAAACCTCCATGCTCCTTATCTCTGCCAGTGTCACAGGATCAGGTATTCCTAAAAAGTCTGTATAACTTTTTGATTTAAAACAACAATTCACACAATTCATTAACCAAATATTTATTATCTATTAGGTGCTAAGAACAGTTCCAGGCTCTGAGACTTAAGCAGTGAAAAACATCCTCTTCTCACAGTGCTTCCAACTTAGTAGTGGGGGAGGAAGAATTAATAAAAACAGCAGCAGCAGCAAAAGTGAGGTGGTGCTATGTGCAAAGAAGGAAATTAGAGAAGGGGAAGAGAGAGCAAAGGGGGTGGGTGTCGTTTCATACAGAGTGGTCAGAGAAGTCATCTCGGATAGGCCACATCTGAGCAGAGATCTTAAAAGCAGTGAGGGATTGAGCCATGCAGGTATGAGGGAGATAAGACTCAAAGCAGAGAGAAGAGTTCAAAGCAGAGAGAAAAGCGCATCCAAAGGCACGGAGGTGGGAATTTCTGAGGAGCACTAGAGGCTAATGTAGTTGGAATGCAGCCAGCAAATGGAGAGGGTGGTAAGGAGATGAGGCCAGGGACGTGAAGGGAACCGAAGACGTGGCAGAATTACGTAGGGATTTTTAAAGCCATGGCAAGGAATTTCGATCTTCTGCTGAATGAAATGGAAATGCACAAAGGGTTTTAAGCAGAACAATGATCAACTCTGACTGAGGTTTCAACAGGAACATTCTGTCTTCCCTGTTGAGGATAGGCTGAAGGGGCATAAGGGCTGACCAGAAAGACCTGCTAAGGGGCTACAGCAATGGTGCAGGTGAGAAATGGTGGTGATTCGGACTACAGGGGTAGTGGTGGAGATGGTGAAACGTGTTTGGATTTTGGAAATATTCTAAAGGTGCAGTCAACATCATTTGTTAAAGTATTGAATGTGGGTTGTAAGAGAGACGACTAAAGGATGATACTAAGGTTATTTGTTTCACAGTTCTTCCAAATATCTGAAGAGATACTGGAAGTTAAATAGCAGCATAGCTAAGAAGTCCAAAATTCCCCACTGTGGTTTCTGGCTCTTCTTCATCCAGTGAGTCAGGGCACATCTGACTGAAAGAGGAGAATGTGAGCACTGAATACCAAGCAAGAAGGAAGGGAGGGAATGGTGGTGAAGAGTGTGATCTGTGTAGGGAATGAAAGCCACCCTCTCCATGCACATAGCCACACACACTCTCTCAAAGCAGGCTGAACCACCAGGTTGTCTCTCTTCTCTTGGAGTTTCCTTCTCTTAGCACAGTCTGTTTCTGTGGCTTGGGGGAAGTAAGGAGGATTACAGGGAGAACCTAAATTTGGCACATGGTTGTACCCAGAACTAAACTTAACTAGGTCAGAGGAAATAGCAGCTGGAAGGGGGCGATTCTCAGGAGGGTGGAGTGGGATACAGAATGCCTGGTTACTGGGATACTAGCATGGTCTCCAGTTGTGGCCTGTAAAGCGACTGGGTAGCATCTGTAGCTCCCAGGCCAAACCTAATTACACTGGAGATCTTTTTAAAATAACCATGTGACACTCTATCCTAGAAGAATCCTATTTAATTGGTCTGAGGTTGGACTCCATAGTGAATGATTTAAAAGCTTCAAGGTGAGTCTAATATGCAAGAAGNGAAGGTCCTTTCTATTCTCCCCTGGGGGCAAACCAAGCCATTTCTTGGTTTGTAACTTTACTTGTATCCCAGAAATGACTGCCACCAGATGATAGCCCAGGGGAGGCAAGGTTGAGGGGAGGTTGCCCTAAGCAAGTCTTTCTAAAGGCTATTTTAATAGGCC